CCATGTTGAACCTTCTAAGCACTTGCCTTCTGACATAAGCCGATCATTTTCCTTTCTCTGTCCCTGCTGATTTCTATTCCAAGAACATAGTTTGCCTCTCCCAAATCACTCATATCAAAGTGATCGGACAGCATCCTTTTAGTGTCATGTAACATGGACAGATTGCTACTTGCTAGCAGAATGTCATCCACATATAGCAGCATGAGGATGAAATTCCTTCCATTGAATTTCATATAGATGCATTCATCCAATGGATTATCAATGAAGCCTTGGGACTTAACAACTTCATCAAACTTGAGATACCATTGTCTTGATGCCTGTTTTAGACCATATATTGATTTCTGCAGCTTGCACACTAAATTCTCTTCCCCTTTTGAGCCAAAACCATCCGGATGTTTCATATATATTTCTTCAATCAGTTCTCCATTTAGGAAAGCTGTCTTAACGTCCATCTGATGAAGATGCAGATCAAAATGAGCAACCAAAGCCATTATGACTCTAAATGAATCTTTAGTTGATACAGGGGAGAAAGTTTCATTGTAATCAACTCCCTCTTCTTGTGTGTAACCTTTTGCCACTAATCTGGCTTTATACCTGTCTATTTGTCCTTGTGCATTCCTTTTGGTTTTATAAACCCACTTGCATCCTATAGGTTTGCATCCTAATGGCAAATTAACTAGTTTCCATACTCCATTTTTGCTCATTGATTCTAGTTCAGATTCCATGGCTGCAGACCACTGTGAACTTTTGTCACTTTCCATGGCCTGCTTGACAGTTGTAGGGTCTTCCTCAGTATTGATGTCATGCTCTGATTCTTGCAGGTAAACAAAGTAGTCATTTGACAAGGCTGGCCTTTTAGGTCTCTGTGATCTCCTGAGCTGTAAATCTGGAGCCAGTTCTGGCTGATATGGAGCCAGTTCTGGCTGATCTGGAGCCAGTTGTCCTTCATTATTCCCTTCTGCATCCATTGGTGAGGCTTGGTTTTCTTCCAAGGCATCAAAAGGTAAGATAGTGACTTCTCTTGTTTGGTTTTCAGCTGCAGTTTCCTTAGTTTCCAAAACTTCATCAAAAACAAAATCTGCTTCATCTAATCCTTCCTCTTCTTCTTCAATAAAAATTGCTCTCTGTGTTTCCACAAATCTAGTAAACCAACAAAATCTACTCTAACTCTTTCTCTATTTCCCACGAACACCTTCAAGTCATCCTTGTTTGGCACCCTCTTTGTTTTAAATCCCTGCAAAGAGTTAGTCACATGAACTGTTGCACCACTGTCTAACCACCATGAATTAGATAAAACTTCAACTGTATTAGATTCATAAATCACAGAGACATTTTCATGCTTACCTTTTCCCTTTTGTTTGTCCAACCAGCGCTTGTATCTTCTGCAATCTCTCTTTAAATGTCCAAATTTCTTGCAGAAGAAACACTTCAAACCTACTGGACCCGTGCCCTTTGCAGACTCATCTTTCCTTTATGCTTATCTGTGTTCTTGTTTTTTGGTCCATTCCTTTGGTTTAAACTTAGTATCCTGCACCAAATACACTTGTTCTTTTCCTTTGTCCTTTCTGATACTTTGTTCTTCCTGCACACATATACCTATCAAATCAGCAACTGACCATATCTCCTTCTGAGCAATATAAGTAGTTTTCAGTTGTCTAAAAATGCTAGGTAGAGAATTAATAGCAAAGTGCACCATCATGGTTTCATCCACATGGACTTTTAGAGCCTTCAGCTTGTTTCCTATCTCAACCATGTTCAGAATATGAGTTCTTATGCAGCCTTCTCCATTGTATTTCATATCTGTCAGCTGGCTCATGAGTGAACCAATTTCAGCTTTCTTGGATCCTTGGAAGTTTTCTGCAATAGCTTCCATGAATAGCTTAGCACTCTCAGTTTCAATAATACTGCCTCTGACCTCTTCTGAAATAGACCTCCTCATGATCAGAATTGCCATTTTGTTGGCCTTAATCCACTTTGCATATTTAGTCTTAGTCTCAGCAGATGCATCAATCGCAGGTACTGATAGAGCTTCATCAGTAAGAACCATCTCATAATCCAGAAGTCCAAGAGCAATTTCCACATCTTCTCTCCATTTCTTATAATTTGAGCCAGTGAGAGTTCGAATCGAGTTATGATTGACTGTACATGTTTAAAACAAGATAAGCACTTTATATATAAATTTCCCCAGAACTTTAATCAAACATACTTAATCACATCTTTGGACAATGATTCAAGCATGCTTATTGACACTGGAAAACGAGTAGATGTGGATTTCCTGAGCAAAAGATCTTCTACATCTTTAGACAGAAGAAAACCTTTCACTAATCCATATCTATCCATGTTCCATGTCGATCCACCATGATGCAAGACATATCAAACTGCTGACATCTTTGGACAGAAAGCCTTTCGACATGTTTTGCATCATGGTGCAAATTCTGATCATAAACCTTGAATATAGTGATCATGCAATGGTTGAGTCGCTTTGGCTTACTCAATCACGGCACAAGAACTGTAAGCAATGATCTGTAGAAAACTTTAAGAACATGATAAAGTTCATACTTTATACTGTTATCATGTTCATACTTTATAACTTAAAACTGTCAGTTATTTATTCTTTAATTTTCCTGCACGAGTTTGTTAGGTATAACATGATATAACTTAAGCTCTAATACCACATGTTAATTCCTTAAAGCCATAACATGTTTAACACTAACCTGACCTTGTAGAACTAGGAACCCTTAAGCCTTCATTATCCTTATTGAACACTGTTTGAGGCTTGCCTAATCGAGATAGGTTTTGAGTTCCTAATAAACAATAAGTCTTTGTAATCCTAAGTTGATTAGAAGATCACTTTAGTAGGTTTAATGTAATAAACCTTCTTACAATTTCTCCATTGACGTCATCAACCAGAGGGGTTCTGATGATTTTGACTAGTCCAGTGAGGACTTGAATCGAACAAGATGAACCCATTTGAATTAAAGCTCTAACAATCGGACCCATCAACACCAATCCCACAAAAACATTCTTATTGAATTTAACCAGACCGAGAACAGCAAAAGCAGCTTGGTCTCGAACCCAAGTCGAAAACTTTGAGTCACAAACCATGAATTCAAGAAAAGAAAATACCTTGGCTCTCAAAATTAAGTGCTGATATTGTTTATCAAACCTTTTGACCAACCTGTAAATGCCTAAAAATATAAAGAATAAAAAAAGAAAGCCCAAAATGCTACATTATATTTATATTTTAAATTTTTAAATTTTTTTTTTTAAAGTTATATATATTTATATTTATTTATTTTTAGATTAAAATTTCTAATTAAAATTAAATATTAAAATAATTATTTTTTAGTCCGACAGAGCACCGAACATAGGTCTTCACTATTTTTATAATCCAGTTTCTTAGTCCGATGCAGCACTATGCGTATGTCAGTACTTAATCTAGCTTAGGCCAATCCGAGCTAATCCAAATCAATCTCAGGATTTAGTCTAGTCCATGACAGTCCATTATACCAACGACCATTCACTATAGAATTCTTGCACTCTTGTAATTTAGTTTGGGTTTTTTTTAATGAAGTTTGGGTTGGGCTTCTGTTGATGGTAATGTTGTAATTTATAGGTGTTTTGAATGTTGTTTTGTGTTTGAAAATGGGCTTTGGGTTTCTAAATTGAATTTCTAGAGGGTTGGGTTTTCTGTTATTCCAAGCCCCACTATTAGGTCTGAAACTAAGGCCCCATTTGGGATTCCTTTTTTAGGCCAAAAATCTGCTTCACTTTAAAGTTACGCAGTTTAAGGTGTTTGGTAAAAATAAAATATCCCGATTATTTTAAAAGCAGTGACCTTTTGACAGTAACTTTTAAAAGCAGACTCTGGGTTGCTTTCAAAGCTGCTTTCAAAAAAAGCAGAGATGAACTTTTAATGATTTTTTTAAATTCCCAAAATACCATCATTCATTTTAAAAAATGACCCCACCTCCACTTCCACATCCACTCCACCACTTGCACCACCACATTCACTACCTTCACCACCACCACCACATCCTTCTCCTCCTCATCCTCCGCCACCACCACCACAACCACCACCTCCTCCACCTCCACCTCCACCTCGACCACCACCACCACTACCACCACAACCACCTCCTCTTCCAAAACCTCAACATCCACTACCACCTCTACAACCAACACCACAATCACCACCATGCTGCCACTACCACCACCACCACTACTACCACAACCACCAACTCCGCCTTCATCACCACCACTACCTCCACTCCATCACTACCACTATCACCACATGATTAGTACATGACACTTTTAACATCATGTCTATTTTAGTCATTATTCACAGTTATAACAATTTTATATTAAAATTTACCAAATGGTTTTGACACTGCTTTTTATACTAATAGCACTTTAAAAATATTGTTTACTAAACATAGAGCTGCTTTACTTTACAGCTAATTATTTTCAAAGCATAGCAGAAATAACTTCTTTTAAAAGTGACAGCAATTCCAAACTGGGCCTAAAGCTCCCATAAATCAAAGTATATTATAGACATAACTTTTTGTTTTTCCATACCTCAAGTCTTCATTTTGATTCTTGTTGTAACCGTGCACCCTCTAGGTCAAGGTCTCACATTGACCGGTGGTCTTGTCAGTCAACATGAGAATAATTAATATGACTATAAAATCGTATGATGTTAATTTAATGTGAGTCTTCTTAAAAAAAAGGAGAGCTCCTAATTAATGCGAGTCAGTTACCATGTTAGAGAAAATTTGAAGTGGGTATTGGTTGAATGATAATGCCAAATGATCTTTATTTTGGAAATTTTAATGCTTGTGATGTGAGGTTTTTTTTACTTCAAAGGTAATACTAAACATATAGACGCATGCTATGGTTGTGTAGATCACAGATAAGGGAGTGAGAGAAAAATGAGAGAGAAATTTTGAGTTCCTTTAAAAAAAAATATGAATTTTGAGTTCCTTTTTTTGAATAGAGTACCAAACAAGCCTTTAGAATGCAGGAGAAAAAGGTGAGTTTGTAGGAGTACTTCCACCCATTTGCCATGACAAATGGCAAGGGGGAGCAAGGGCAAATACTATTCACATGAATAGTGGCAGCCTTTGCAACACCCATTACCATGGCAAAGGGCAAATACTATTCATTTTTTGTTTTTTTTAATATTTTAAAACCTAAACAATTAATTTGGAGAAGATTTTTGGTTCCCACGTGTCAATATTTATTATAAAATTCATATCTCATAATTCGAATGATTTTTTCGGATAAGATTCAAATTTCAAATTTCAAATTTCAAATTCATATTTCATATTTCAGATAAGATTTCCAACCTCTAAAATCGCGCCATGTGTCATCTCTATATAAAACCAGAGACTCAGCTTATACCTCTCACACCAGATCTTCCCTATCTTTTCATTTTCATATTTTAGATTTCATACTCCATTCTCAACGTTAGACATGAGGAGATACTTGGAGAGGCAAAAGCGAGAAATTAAAGAAAGAAGGTGTAGACGAGCTGAAGAAAAAAGAGTGTAGCAAGAAGAAGATGAACAAGTTACCATGACAATGGGTTTTCTCGATCTAGAAAGCCAAGGCCGCCGCCGTGGTTCACAAGTCAGCCGTGGCCCGAACATGGACAGATATAGGCATTCTTAGGGTAAGAATCTTTTGGAAGAATACTTTATCCCAAATTATGTGTACTCTAATGTTGATTTTCGAAGGCGATATAGAATGCAACCCCATTTGTTCAATAAAGTCATGCATGATGTTTGCAATTACGATGCATGCTTCATTCATAAGTGTGATGCTGCTGGGGTTTTGGGGCTTCTTTCGGAGCAAAAAACTTACAACTGTTATACGAATGCTGGCGACTGGAGTGTTTCCACCAGTCGACTGGAGCCCGAGCAAAACAAGGCCCAACTCAAGCTAGCACTTCCAGCAGGCCAAGCTTGCCAAGGCAAGGTGTGGGTCCCACGTAACCTGGCCAGCCCACAGGACAAACCAGCTTGACCTCTAACCCAAAGGCAGCTGACATCATGGCTAACGCCAGTTGACGGGTGGAAATGCTCTAGACCGGGCTCTAGTCGATGGGTGGAAATGCTCCACTTGCTAGCATTCATATAACAGTTGTAAGCTTTTGCTCTGAAAGAAGCCCCAAAACCCCAGCAACATCACATTTATGAAATAAGTATGCATCGTAATTGCAAACATCATGCATGACTTTATTGAAAAAATGGGGTTGCATTCTATATCGCCCTTGAAAATCAACATTGGAGTCCGCATAATTTGGGATAAAGTAATCTTCCAAAAGATTTTTACCCCGAGAATGCTTATGTCTGTCCACGTTCGGGCCATGGCCAACTTGTGAACCACGACTACGGCCTTGACTTTCTAGATTGAGCCAACCCACTGCCATGGCAACTTGTTCATCTTCTTCTTACTGCACTCTTTTTTTCTTCAGCTCGTCTACGCCTTCTTTCTTTAATTTCTCGCTCTTGCCTCTTCAAGCATCTCCTCATGTCTGACATTTAGAGTGGAGTATGAAATCTAAAATCTGAGAAATGTAAAGATATGGAAGATTTGGTGTGAGAGGTATGAGCTGGGTCTCTGGTTTTATAGAGAGATTTAGAGGATATAGATGAGATGTGGAGCGATTTTAGAGGGTGAAAATCTTATATAAAATATGATATTTGATATTTGAATTTGAAATTTGAAATTTGAATCTTATTCGAAAATTTTATCCGAAAAATTCATTCGAATTATGAGATATGAATTTTATAATAAATATTGACATGTGGGAACTGAAAATCTTCTCCAAATTAATTGGTTAGGTTTATAATAAAAAATATAAGAAAGTGAATAGTATTTGTTCTTTGCCATGGCAATGAGTGGAAACACACCTTACTTTTTGCAAAGGCTGCCACTATTCACGTGAATAGTATCTACCCTTACTTCCTCTTGCCCTTTGCCATAGTAAGAGCAGTTCCAGCCACGCAGCCCAGCCCGAGGGGAGGGGGGAAAAAAACAAAAATCCGCTTCCAGCCATGCAGCCCAGGCCCGGGGGGGTGTGGGACCCACCAACCTGGGCTGGCCCGAAGGCAACTTTCGCCCCAGGTCCAAAACGCGGTGGAGGTGACGTCATAACGACGTCAGGCTGACGTTGTCACGCGGTTTTCAAATTTTTTTGAACCCGCATGCGCTGACGTCAGCGCGACGCCAGCCACAACGGGTGGAAGCCACGTGGCACTCCCCCAGCGCTCCGATTTGATTCCAAATTTTAATCCAACGGCTGGGCA